CCATGGGGATTCATCATGGGAGACAAATTATATTGCAGTGGAATCCCTCTTTCTTTACCTCCGATCAATGTGTGTGTGTGTGTGTGTGTGTGTGTGTGTGTGTGTGTGTGTGTGTGTGTGTGCGCACGTGTATTTTAGCACCTCTCACCTTGTAAGGCCATTTTTTCCAACCATGTTCTGAGGATCCACGGCTCCTTATGGAGCTCCATAAGAGGAAAAACTGTTTTGGGTTGAGTTAAGGTTAAAGGTCAGAGTTAGGCTGCAGAAAGAAAGTCAAAGCAAAGTTGATTATTCACCATATTAGAGCCCATGAAGAGGAGCAGCTAGCGGCTGGAGGCAAACGGCTAGCAGCCAGCAGTTAGCAGTTAGCAGTTAGCTATTAGCAGTGAGCAGTAAGCGGCTAGCGGTGGATCAACCCTCCTCCTTCTCTTCTCTGTGCCTTCAGCCCAGCTTCCTGTTTTAAGGCTCTTATTGATCATAATGTGGAGCATGATTATTTCCCAGAACTCTGCAGTGTTTCATTTTTCTTCATTCTTGACCTTTGCAGCTGCAGGTCGGGTTTAATTTCCTCCCAGCTGCTGCAGCAGGATGACGGAGCGACAGCGGCGGTCGGTATGCAGATCAGCCCGTCCTGCTGAGCGGCAGCAGTCGGGCCCCTGAGGCCCCTGATGAATTACTCAGGAGACGATCGGTGGCAGAGTTCCTGCTGGTTTCACTCCGATGTCTCACCTGCAGGACAGGTAAGAGATGGAGGGCAGGGTGATCCGTCTGCTGGATGATGATGATGATGACTTTGTGCTGCAGGACGACTGGAAGCTGAAAGCAGATAAGTTGTTTTCTGGATGAAAAATCAAAAACAAAAGTTAATTTTTAATTGCTGGAAGTTTTTTAGACCCTAAACAACATAAAAAATGTTTCCAGAGAATTTCTGGATTTTTAACTGATGCTGGAAGCAGCAGAGACCGAGTAGAAAACCTGGAAAGGTGAGTTTAGCTCAGCAGGTCAATGTGTTGCTGTTCCCTCTTTCAGCAGGAGGCGATCATTCACATCGTTCACATTGTTCACATCGTTCACATTATTCACATCGTTCACATCGTTCACATTATTCACATCGTTCACATTATTCACATTGTTCACATCGTTCACATTATTCACATCATTCACATTGTTCACATCGTTCACATCATTCACATCGTTCACATTGTTCACATGGTTCACATCATTCACATTGTTCACATCATTCACATTATTCACATCATTCACATTGTTCACATTATTCACATCGTTCACATTATTCACATCGTTCACATTATTCACATCGTTCACATTGTTCACATCATTCACATTATTCACATTGTTCACATCATTCACATTGTTCACATCGTTCACATTATTCACATCGTTCACATCGTTCACATCGTTCACATCATTCACATCGTTCACATCATTCACATTGTTCACATCGTTCACATTATTCACATCGTTCACATTATTCACATCGTTCACATTATTCACATCGTTCACATCATTCACATCATTCACATTATTCACATCATTCACATTGTTCACATCATTCACATTGTTCACATCGTTCACATCATTCACATCGTTCACATCATTCACATTATTCACATCATTCACATTATTCACATTGTTCACATTATTCACATCGTTCACATTATTCACATCGTTCACATTATTCACATTATTCACATCATTCACATTGTTCACATCGTTCACATCATTCACATCGTTCACATCGTTCACATCATTCACATTGTTCACATCGTTCACATCATTCACATCGTTCACATCGTTCACATCATTCACATTGTTCACATCGTTCACATCATTCACATCGTTCACATTATTCACATCATTCACATTATTCACATCATTCACATTATTCACATCGTTCACATCATTCACATCGTTCACATCATTCACATCATTCACATTATTCACATCATTCACATTATTCACATTGTTCACATCATTCACATTGTTCACATCATTCACATCGTTCACATTGTTCACATCATTCACATTATTCACATTGTTCACATTATTCACATCGTTCACATCGTTCACATCATTCACATTGTTCACATCGTTCACATCATTCACATTATTCACATTGTTCACATCGTTCACATCGTTCACATCATTCACATCGTTCACATCATTCACATCGTTCACATTATTCACATCATTCACATTATTCACATTGTTCACATTATTCACATTATTCACATCGTTCACATTATTCACATCGTTCACATTATTCACATTGTTCACATCGTTCACATCATTCACATTGTTCACATCGTTCACATCATTCACATTATTCACATCATTCACATCATTCACATTGTTCACATCATTCACATCATTCACATTATTCACATCATTCACATTGTTCACATCATTCACATTATTCACATCGTTCACATTCCTGCACTTTGTTTAATTGCAGTCTGAGGCTCAGAGGAACACGAAGGTTCTGTCTGTTGGCAACAGAAACCACAACCCGAATAAACACACTGTGGTCAACCTGTGTGTGTGTGTGTGTGTGTGTGTGTGTGTGTGTGTGTGTGTGTGTGTGTGTGTGTGTGTGTGTGTGTGTGTGTGTGAAGAGTAAACAGCCCGGTCCTCATGCCTCTGGTGGCAGAGAGGCAGGCGGCTCTTCATGGAGCGGCTGAGCTTCGTGAGGCGCTGCTTCCCACTTCAGGAACAGAAACCCAGTAATTATCCTCCGCAGGCTGAGGGCCGAGGGGCCGACGGCCCCCTGGATCTCTGCAAACACGCAGATCTGATCTGATCTGAGCTGATTGGCTTCATTCATGGAACGCCGCCGCTGCTGCAGCTCTAATTACAGCTGCTTTGAGCTGCACGAACCAGCAGAGGCTGAGAGGAGGAACACACACACACACACACACACACACACACACACACACACACACACACACACACACACACACACACACACACACACACCGGTCAGCTGGAGAAGAAGAACATTTTGGTCATTGTGAATCAGATTCAGCCTCTTCTCTGCAGTTTTAGGGCTTCTGTCACTTTAAATCCAGATCAGCTGCTGATGGCCACGCCCCCAACTCAACGTTTACACCTGAAAATGACTGCAAACAGATGCTGGATTATACAATCATACATCTTTGAATAGCAGAAGTGGAGCCTCCTGCACAACCAACCAGAGTCCAGCAAGTGGTTTCTGGATGGTGAGTCAAGAATAATCGTTTGTGTTTTCCAGCAGCCATTGTACCAAATGGGCTGTCTTAGTGGCTGTAAACCAAACTAAGCCGCCGAGCTGAACAGAGGAATCATTGATGACGCAGCAGCATAAAAATGGATCCGCAGGTTTCAACAGAGATCAGATCAAAATCCTTCATTCAGCAAAGAGAAAACTCCCCATCACAGGTGAGCAGCAGGTTCATTCAGGTGAGCAGCAGGTGATCTACTCTGGATCAGCAGGTGATCTACTCTGGATCAGCAGGTGATCCAGAGTAGATCACCGACCAGATGGTTGCCAGACTGGTTGCAAGGTAACGGGTCCCATCAAATTGGACATAGCAGTATTGTTGTCCCATCAGATCAGCCTGAAGCAGAATTCAACCCCAGTGGACAGAAGCGGCTTGTGCTGTTAGCTTGTGCATCAGATTTACAGGCGTACCAGAAACACACTGATGCAAAGGTTCCTGCCTGAAAACATGCAGTTAACTGCAATAAATCTATGAAAATAATTCATGCATCAAACTCCCTGATTTGAATGTAAAACTAAATAATGTTTCATGCTGTGAGCAACAGAAGCAGTGACACCATCACACCCCCACCGGCCCGCAGCCTGACGGAGCCAACACCACTGAGTCAGGCTGCTAACGGGATTCATCAGCCTCTGATGTGATTAGTGGGCGGGCTCTGACTCTGATTGGACGAGCAGTCAGGTATCAGGCTTAGTGAGGTTCAGTATTAATTTGTTCATGTTGCTGTGAGAATCGGCTCAGAAACACGATGAGCTTCCTGAAGCTTCACCACGTTTAGCTTCAGGTTAAAACCCCAAACAGAGCCAGGATTTCTGTTGGTCTGTCTGCTGATGAAAAAACACAGTTTGACTTGATGAAAATACATTTATTTCATGAAAACATAGCAATCTAGAAAAAACTCAGGTTTGTTTTTGCTAATTTTTTATTTTTATTTTATTTAGCTGTATCAAAATTAGTGTATTTGTGAAAACTGCTTCACACTAATCATGTGATCAACAACCGGACATTATTTTTGGTGGAAAAGACAGAGGACCACAGGAAGTGGTTGGAAGGTGATGTTTGTGTAGCGCTTTAGCGTTAGCATCCTCTAAATGCCATGTTGGAATAGCGCTTTACCTTTCGCATAACAATGTTTATGATTAGTGCATCAGCGCAGCTAGCTTTTGTTAGCGTTGTCTCCAGTGATAACATTTAGATTATTTGTATTTTTGCTCCACATGAAGCCGCAGAGCTTTTATGACGGGATATTATTCAGGGAATGTTGCCTGACTCTGTATCGTCTCTGCAGCTCATCCTCATCCAGACTATTTTTAGTGTCAATCATTTATTCTTGACAATCCTCTGTTTCCATCATTCTATCCCACCAATTCTCTTTGTCATTTATTACTCTGCAAATCCGAATTATCTGCAATCTCTCCCTCTGATCCGACCCCCCCAGCCACCGGCAGCTTAGGGTGCAGTTAGCAGCTGGTGGCGGCCTGGTGGAGGAGGGGCCCGGTTCAGACTGGCCCGGTTCAGACTGGCCCGGTTCAGACTGGCCCGGTTCTTCCTCTTGGCTCAGAGAGCTGCTGTTAGATTGGAGCGTAGAGCTGCTGGCTCTGCACCAGTGCTACCAGTTAACCTCCATCTGTTCGGCAGGGGGACGTTCTCTTGTGCCGCATGCAGAGACCACCACATGCAGCACCCCTGCAGGCAGGCAGGCACACACACACACACACACACACACACACACACACACACACACACACACACACACACACACACACACACAGCAGGCCCATAAAATCACCCAGTGACACAAATCCACAGGAGCTGGAACAACCTTCCTGCCAGCGCTGCGCCGTGGAGTTAAAGCTCCAAACGCCTCATCACAGATTAATGCGCCTGCAGCAAACCGCTGCTTCCTCTGACCGGCCAGGCACCGAGAACCCGACGCACTTTTCAAAGAGGAAACACTTCTGCAGAACTACAGGAGGCAGCGGAAGTCTTTTATCGGACCCGACGCTCCCATTGGACGGTTCTGGACTCACAGACAGGAAAGATCAACACCAAACACCAACCAGAACCAGAACCAGAACCAATCAGAACCAACAGAACCAACAGAACCAGAGCCAATCAAAACCAAGAGAATGTGGACTGTTAGCATCAGTTCCAGCTGTTCACAACGGATCAACAGTAAAAAGATGTAAAAACTCTAAATGAGGTTCTAGAGTAAATATGTTGTGAAACCTGAAGTCAGAGTGACTGAATGTGATGTAACTCCAGGAGAACTGGACCGTTGATCTGATGCTAACAGTTCAGTTTTCACTGCGACGTGTCGGAACGTTCTTCCTCCAGCTGACGGGATTCTGGGAGACCCGACATGTCTGACGGGTTTTAGTGTGTTTGGTGATTTATGAAGTCATAATGTGTTTAAATGTCGCCCGTCTGCCAGGAAGGGACCCGGCGCGTCCGTCACAGTGACCTTTAACCCCGGAGCGGCTCGTCTTCTCTCCCTCTCGCCTCGTTAGCGGCGCTCCGGTCGGGCGGCCATTAAGGAGGCCAGAGAGCGGATGAGAAGCGAGCAGCGGGAAGCGATGCCCGGCCTTGTTAGAGGGTTTCGTTACAGGCTCAGAGAGCAGCAGCCGGTTTCCCTCCAGCAGCTGCAATAATAACTTCTGCTGTTTAATTCATGTTTCATGAAACCAGTGAAAAAGACGTTCAGGGACGTCGGACTGGATTGTTTCCCGCAGCATCATGACTTCCTCTCCCTTCGCCCTGGGATTGGATTTTCTCTCCTTCCTGATTCAGAATAAATTTCTTGTTCAGTCTTGGAGGTCAGAGGTCAGGAGGCAGAAACACCTGGAGATGATGTCAGGAATATTTCTGTCCCATTTAAAATCCAAGGTGATGATTAAATTTCCAGCTCGAAGCTTTAAACGCCTGAAACAAACGGCGGATTCGGCTCCCGGAGGTCGGAACCGGACTGACGGATCTGGACTCCAACCGTCCAGAACTACGGAAGCCCCGAAAGGCCGAGGAGAAAGATACGGTGAAACATTAACGTTTTCATGCATCATTTTGTTCTCAAATGGGAAAAAAATGTGTAAAATTAGATTTTCTGTAAAGTGTTTCTTATAAAAGTTGATTTATTGGACACCCTGTGCTCAGGCCTCAGCTTATCCTGAGCGTTTGCTGTAGCTACAGGCTGACCTCTCCTCTCTTTCCTCTCCTACTGCTCGCCACTCGTCTATTTTTGTTTCTCCAGTTTTTTCCTGTAATCATCATTTGTCCTGATGACATTTCTTCATGAATGGTCGACGTCCGGATCGGGTCAAAGCGTTTCATTAAGCTGGCTTATTGTCTCCGATGATCTGCAGGAAACTCAAAGCCTCAGTCTGATCTGATTTGTGACAAACGGCAGAAAAACGATTCTGTCAGAGTGTAAAATGGACTTTATCCCTAAAAATATCCTGTGGGAGAGAAAATGTCAGAAAAGTTCATTAGAGGCGAATCTGGACAGCAGCGACTAACAGACACGATGCTGAACATTTGTCATCCATCACAGGCCTGCTGTCATCACCTCATGAGGCCCGGAGCTTCATTACTGTCTGTCTGTCTGTCTGTCTGTCTGTCTGTCTGTCTGTCTGTCTGTCTGTCTGTCTGTCTGTCTGTCTGTCTCTGTCCGTCCTCACGTCACGGGGAGGGAAAGGTCAGAAAAAACACTCGGCAGACAGAAACATGTCCTGCAGGAAACCCCCACTGGAAACGCTCAGCCCCTCCCACAGCCGCAGGCCGCGCCACCGCAGGTCAATGGGGCTGACCCAGCACGGAGCCGGGGAGCGGTTCTGGTTCTGTATCCAGATCTGGGTCAGTTAGGCGGATCGATCCCATCAGAACCGTAATCTGAGGCCGCCGTCCATCACGGATCTAATGAAATGTCAGCAGAGCTTCAGCTCATTTGAATAATCGGCTGCTGTCATAAACTTTATGAAACGTCATAAAATCAGAGCCGGAAAAACTTCCTGCTGCTGCACGACTTGGACTTTATTATAAATCTGTTTTTTTTTCAGAGCAGTTTTTAAAAATCTGTGAACATTTCAATAAATATTAATGATCCTCAGGATTTTACACAACTGGATTAATTACAACACAATAATTCAGATTCCATATTATTAAATGATTCTGTTAAGTTACAATAAAACTCACATTCCTTCCCAGCCAATCAGGATCCTCCTGACAGCATAGATGTGTTTTAAATAGATTCACACTGGAAGAAAAAGTTTGAAGAAAAGCTACACAGTAAAACCAGCAGCAACATTTTGGTTCATTTAGACATTCAGAGGAAAAAAACGTATAAAAATCAGGTTTTCATGATATCATCATGATAAATGTCATTGTCCCAAACTAAATATTTAATTCAAAATGTAAATCTTTATTTAATAAACTCCATGCAGGAGTTCAGGATCCAGATGTTCAGGGCGACCCGTTTTATTCAGAACTCTGCAGAAAGAACCGTGCAGCTACTGGTTCCTCCAGCGGAGAGCAAACAGACCGAGCTGAGCTTCAGTCTTTATTATATTAATTCCTCTTTATGCCCTAAAAACATTGTAGAATATCCAGTTTACAGCTAACAGCAGCTAAGCTAAATGTTTCTTCTTCAGTCCCAGACAACGCAGACGCTCATAAACAATAATTATTTATGGTTCTTCGGACTCACAAACGCCATTTAACAGTAAAATATTCGACTGTTTGAGTTGCATGTTTGTCTGAATGATTAAAATGTGAACATAAATCCTGCAACACCTTTTCATTTCTACCTGCTCTGGATTTAAAATGAACAAATAAAATCTGATGGAACTGAAACCAGCAGCTGATTCACATTTACATCCCATAATCCTCCAGTCATGTTTGTCCCTTTTATTTGTTCACTGTGACCGCAGGCGCAGCTGAGCTTCACTGAACGACGCTGTGTGTGTGTGTGTGTGTGTGTGTGTGTGTGTGTGTAAGAAGACATCAGTGTGTGTATCGGAGCGCAGCCAATCCTCTTACAGTTCAACATATCATTATGCATTAGTGTGCCGGGTCACTATAGCCTGCTGAAATATTCATGCAGGATTCCTCTGAGCTGGAAGCCTCATGTTCACACACACACACACACACACACACACACACACACACACACACACACACACACACACACACACACACACTGAACCAGGAGGAAATGCATCAGGTTGTTGGTTTGAAATCGGCGCCATTTAAAAAGTTACAGAAAAAAGCAACAACTTGTGAGTCTTGAGACGAAACAGGAGAGTTTTCTTAGTTAGTCGGTTGTTGGTTCTGAATTAACAACTAAATATGAATCAAGCTGCAGCGTCAGTTTCTGGATCAGAAACAGAAGCAGGTTCTGTTGAAACACAACGAGACGCAGAATCTCTGCTGGTTTCTCAGAAACTAAAGAGTGAAGAGAAAAATCTGCTGCCGGTTCTGATTCTGTCTGCGGAGGCGAATCAGAGTCCACAGAGGGAAGAGCTGGAAGACGGATAATCCCAGATAATCCCGCAGGCAGAAAGCCGGTCAGAGAAGAAAAGAGTCAGGAAGCATCAGGGACAACGTGAAGGAGAAACCCAGAACCAGAACCAGAACCAAACCCAGACACTGCGGATCCACAGCGAACGATTCAATCACCTTCACCGTCTCCATGTCTTTGTGTCTCTGCTTTAATCCCCACTGATCCCACAGAAACAGCGGTTTTACTTGGATTAGGCCGGTCGGGCAGCGCTGGGCCTCATTAACACATCACACGGTTTTGGTTTGACCGAGAGGGAAACCGGGGAAGAGCTGCAGGCGGGATGCACTCTGACCCCAAACCTCTGGGGTCAAAGGTCAACATTCAGATAAAACCAGAGAGTAACTCGTTACATTACTGGAGCAAAGTTTTATTTTCCTTCAGTCACTTTTCATAAAGTATTGATACTCCAGTAAACTTCCATTTTGAGATGAAAAGTTTCCAGAAAAGACTTGAACATCAAAAATGTTCTTGTTTTGTCCTGGAACATTTCAGAGTTTTCTGCAGAATGAGCTCCTGTCGTTTTGTGACTTTATTTCACTGAAAGTCGGTTAGAGTCACAGAGCAACTGCCCCATGCTGCCCCATGCTGCCCTTGTTGCCCCAGCAGGGCAGGAACTGCCAGGCTGCTGTGATTTCTGCTGCTGAATGATGACAGAAGCAAAAACGCTTTTCACAGCGGCTCACATTCACGGCATCGACAGGCAGGTGACAGATGAGAGGAGGAGCTGCTGGACCGAACAAAGGCAGGAGATGAATAATGGCAGCAATGTTGCTGCAGGAGTTGCCCTCCGCTTGGGGCAGTTATTCAATGAGGAGGCTTCTACGTGCCCAGCTCTCTGCGGCTTTGCGCCGGGATTGGATTCATTAGTTCATCAAGATGATGAACATCTCGAACCTGCGGAGCAGGAAGCGCTCCTCCCTGTCAGCGGGCCGATCCGGTTCGGTCCGGTTCATTGCTCCGGTCCGGTTCATTGCTCCGGTCCGGTCCGGTCCGGTTCATCGCTGTGGACAGCAATAAATCGAGTTCATATGATGAAACGTTCATCAGAAATAACTGGCAAGCTAAATATAGTTAACCGGAAGTGGACTACCAAAATAAAAGCTTGAACCTCTTGATAAAGTCCAGTTTTCTTACTGGTTCATTCACTCCTAACAGTTCAGCTTAAAACAAGAAAAGTCGCATTAAAGGCAATGCAGACGTTTCCCAACAGATCAAAAATACTGACCAGCTTTTACTTTGAAGGTCCACTTCCACCTATCGGCAGTGCTGGCTAAATATTCAGCCCAGAGCTCCTGAATAAATATTTATCTTCTAACTAAATATTTAGAGTGAAGCTAAATATGAATTAGCTTGCTAGCTTAATATCCAGCTTGGAGCTGATTGATTGAGTTGACTTGGGAATTGGGTTTTTCAGAACCGATCTGCTCACATCCAGAACATTTAGATGGAGAAGTGTTGTGCTGGTTGGTCCAGAACCGTCCAGTGGTTCTGCTGCCAGGGCTGGGCGGTCCGGACACGGCTCAGTGGTCATAAAGTTCTGCCTCATCTGAACTTGTCATGTTTGCTGATTCGTGATGTTTAGTGCAGATCATGATCAGAGGAATCTGAGGAAGATCATGTTTCATTTGTTAAATCTGCATTTTCTGAATATTAATATTAAAGTTGTGTGAAAAATTCTCTCTGATCATCAGATGAACTGAATCTAATTAGAGTCGGAAGAAAAATCTGTAAGTCTCTCTGTTGTTGGCCTGAAGCGGTTTGTTGTTCTCATAAAGTTTCTCCTGCTGAAGGGAATAAAAACCTGTTGGCTCAGAAACGCAGATTCAAAACAAATAAAGACTCAAATCTCCTCCACAGTTGGTTCTGCTGCCGACCGTCTCCGACCCAAACACAGGAAACCCTGCGAGACGCTGTGGCTAACACTAGGGGCTAATGCTAGGGGCTAACACTAGGGGCTAATGCTAGGGGCTAACGCTAGCGGCTAATGCTAGCAGCTATCGCTAGGGGCTAACACTAGCAGCTAACGCTAGCGGCTAACAATAGGGGCTAACGATCGGGGCTAATGCTAGCAGCTAATGCTAGGGGCTAACAATAGGGGCTAACGCTAGGGGCTAACGCTAGCGGCTAATGCTAGGGGCTAACATTAGCGGCTAATGCTAGGGGCTAACGCTAGCAGCTAATGCTAGGGGCTAACGCTAGCGGCTAACGCTAGGGGCTGACAATAGGGGCTAACGCTAGGGGCTAACGCTAGCAGCTAATGCTAGGGGCTAACACTAGCAGCTAACGCTAGCGGCTAATGCTAGGGGCTAACGCTAGCGGCTAATGCTAGGGACTAACGCTAGCGGCTAATGCTAGGGGCTAACGCTAGCGGCTAATGCAAAGATAAGCTGATGTGTGATGAAGATCAGCTCTGATGTTTCTTCTTCTTTCGTTACATTTGAAAACAAATAGCCAAGACAGCAGCGTTGTCATGGAAACCGACATGTTGGCAGCTGGTCATCGGACCAATCAGGAACGTTCAGGACTCCGGTGCAGGCGGGACAGAGACAGGTGCATTATGGGAAGATTTAAAGTGACATTAGGAAGACGAAGAACCGGCGGCGAACTCGACCAGGTGATTCAGTCACCAGGATGAACGGCAGCGAGAAACGAAACAACGACACAGGAACATGTGATTACTGCAGAACCAGAACCAGAACCAGAACCAGAACCACAACCACAACCAGAACCACAACCACAACCAGAACCAGAACCAGAACCACAACCAGAACCAGAACCAGAACCAGAACCACTCGCCGCCTCCAGCAGCCACACTGAAACACAGAGCCAGATTCCGTCAGACGTTGACGCTGCGCATGGCTGTAATCAACAGGAAGTAGAGGAAGCTGACAGAGAGACTTCCTCCCTCCATGCTGGAGGTTTGGTGCCTCTGGTACGGCGCCGACCCACCAGCGGACGGGACGGTTCAGGAGATGTTTTTCCATCGACTCTTTTCCAGAACAGCCAGAAACCATCTGAAGCAGAGACTCGTTTTTGAGAAAGTTATCTAGATTTTTTCTGATTCAACCGTTTCCAGCGAGCGACGCAGCAGAAAACGATGCTGGAAGAAAAGACGGAAACTTTCCCATCCTCCATGTTTCCATCATCAGGAGATTTTCCTCATCTCTGGATTCCACAATCCGACCAAAACAACCGAATATTCTGGCGTTTGGTTTGCAGATTATCCTGCTGAAAACAGATGAATTGTGAAGTTTTCTGAACGTCTGTGCAGGATGTGACCGCTTGGTGAACTCTCAGCCTGGATGACGAGCTTCAGGAAAAATAAGATGATTTCACACCTTTTGAATTTGTTTCCCATCTTTGAAGCTCGAAAGGAAAAGCTGTCTCCCCTCCGCGGTGAGGGTCTCGGCTCTTTCTGTCCTCCTTTCCTCACTTATTACGGCTCTTATCTGCTTCTCCTTCTCCCTGCCGTCTCATTTCCTCTCGCTTCTTCTCCTCGACGCTCGCTGAGGAGCAGATGATGTAAAAACTCCTCCAGCCTCTGCAACAGCAGCCTGAGCCCAGTTTAGTTTTCTGTCTAGACGTCTATTACTCACAGATTAGTGAGGAGAAAAAAGCTGCAGCGGTTTGTTGATTGGAGGTTTGTCTGCAGGAGATTCACGTCTGGGAGGAAAAACCTGGAAAAACAAAAACATCTTGAAACTTCAGTGGATCCGGGGAGCGTCAGGCTGCAGGGCGTCAAGAACAGTTACTCCAACTTCTTAGTTTCTTTAGCTGCAAATAGAGAGAAGAAAAATAAAGGTTCATTTTTTCACTGGCGATTCAAACCACAGATTAAATATTTAAATCCCAACTAAATGTTTAAATATTTAGTTTCCAAACTAAATATTTAGTTCCAACTCAAAATAAATGAAATGTTCAAATATTTAGCTTGGTTGCTAAATATATTTAGTTAGCAATCAACTAAATATTGAGTAACTAGATATTTTGTTAATATGCAAATTAATGAGACAATATGCGGAAGTGGAATATCAAAATAAAAGCTGTGTTTTATGAATCTCTACATGCTGCTGGATAAATCGACTGAAGCTGACAGTGCAGATTATTTACACACCTTTTATTTTGATAGTACACTTCCTCTTTTTAACAAGTGAATTTGCATATCAGCTAAGTGTTTAGCTAATATGTAAATATTTCATATTTAGCTTGCACCTGGATATAGTAGTTGGCAAGCTAACTATTTGGCTAACAAGCTAAATATTTAGTTAGCGCACTAGCTACATTGTTAGCTTGCTATATAAACATTTACTGTAGGTAGTAAGCTAAATATTCTAATTGGAAAATAAATATGAACTTCTTAACTGAATATTTTACTTTATAATTAAGTATTTGGCTTGTGAATTAATTATTTAGTTGGAACTGATGTTTATAAATGTGTAAGTAACATGTTGACCCATTTTAAATCAACCATCTTGATTCGATCCGCTCCGATACGCTCCACCCCGATCCGATCCAATCTGCTCTGCACCGATCCGCTCTGATCCGATCCAATTCAATTCGATCCGATCCGCCCCGCCCGCTCCGGCTCAGATGAAACGGGTTTCTGTCAGCGCAGAGGCCCAGACGGTTTCATGCTTTATTGTTCTCTGGGTGTAAAGCTCTCTTCTTCTTCTTCTGTTGCTGCTGAGACGTTTTCTCTGAACTATTAGGAGTTTCTAAACCCGGCTAAGCTCTTAAGCTGCTCTGATAGTTTTGTCACCTTGGTTTCCTCGCCGTTTCCTCCTCTAATTCCCTTTTCATCCTCTGGTGTCTGTGCAGCTCACTGAGACGCTGCTGCTGCAGCTGCTGCTGCTGCTGCTGCTGGGAGTCGGACAGAGACGCTTCCTGAACACTGAAGCTGCTTTCAGTCCTTCTGCTGTTCAAAACAGGCCGACTGTGAGAAGGTGATTGTTTTGTTCTGACTCCTCCTCCAGCGTCTGCAGGGTCAGTTGCTGCACAGTAAACAAACATTAAAGAGCTTTTTATGAAAACATCTCATTTTAAAGCCAAACTGAGTCGTTTTTTCCTTCTGCAGCTTCAGCCTTGTTATTACTGAACTGCTTTACGCTGCGTTCCCACAGACCTGCGTTCCCACAGACCTGCGTTCCCACAGACCTGTACACTGCGCTCTGATCCAAACTTTGACCTGCTCAGTTTGTCTAGTCAAAGTCCGGATCGGTTAGTGAGGTGTGAATGCTAATCGACCTCTGACCCTCCAAGCCTGGGTTCAGTTCAGTCCAACTCTGGTTTGAATGTGAACGCCAAGCGGACCAGAGAGCGCTCCAAAGGCAGGAAGTGGACTACAGCGCAGGGCATTCTGGGTAACCATAGCTAACATGTTAGCCTGGCGTTAGCATCAGAAATGGCTCCTGGTCTTCAGCCAAAGACTAAAGAGAAATCACTAAACTCTGACGCCTCCATCTTGTTTCATCTGGTGAAACAGGAAGTTGCTCTCAGCGTCTTCAGAGGTTTTAGTGTCGTTTCCTGCAGTGGTTGTTGGTGCAGCGCCCCCACAGGCCAGGAGGGGAACAGGCTGGTTTGGGTCAGAACCACAGCAGCTGGAGGTGGAGCAGATGATGGAGTTCTGATCTGGACCATCTGGTGTGAAAACAGTTTCACTGTCTGATGTTCTATCTGCTTTTAAACTGATCTGCAGTAAATCGTCTTCAACAAATTGTCCACCATCTTTTCCTGCTGCAGGATTTCCTGTCATGGGAAACAGGAAGTCAATGATTCTCTGTCTGAGTTGCTAAAGCTGCTCCAGCTGCCAGCAGGATCTTAATGGCTTCAGTCAGCAGCTGTTTGGTTTCTGATCATCATCCTGCCGCCGCGTTTACATCGGCCATAAAAACCTTCAGCTAATTCAATCATGGAAATAAATTAGAGGCTATTCAGAAAAAATCCCATTTTTCTACGATGAATTGGTTTTTTATTGTGTATTTTACTAAACTGTTCCCTCTTTAGGAAACTGAAAACATAAAGGACTGAAGGATGCGGCAAGATTTATGTGAACAAACCAGGAACTCAAACTCACACCAACACACCTAACAGACAATAAAACTGAGTTTACGGTTAAAAACTAGTTTTATTGTTTGCAGTAATAAAACTTGATGTGAGTCTCAAGTTGTTCAAATGAACAGAATCAGTAAAATAATGTTTCACCTGGTAGAAAGAAGAAAACAGATGAAAGTTTTTCATGTCTGGGTTTCATCTCCTTCCAGCAGCATCAGAGACAGAAAGGAGAAGCTGCATGTAACGAAGGAGGAGGTGAAGACGAGGACGCCGTTTCATCTCGGCTTGTCCCACAGGTCCTTCCTCTTTTGTCCTTCCTCTCGGCGGAGCAGGAATAATACGCAGATCCCGAGGAAACGCTCTCCTCGTTCCCAAACAGGAAGGAGATAACACGCAGCGCCTGCAACGCCGCAGAGTCCCGTTCAAAGGCTGCGATGATTCAGAGCGAGCCTCGCAGCGCAGAGACGGAGGGATGAGAGGACGCAGAGCCGCATGAAAGAGGAGCAGAAGACTGGAGGCCGGGCGGCACGGAGGCTCCTGGCGGGAGAGGAAGAGCATCAGGCGCTTCACCAAGGAGAGGCCAACACAAGGAAAGGTGGAAACATAACCAGCACAAACCAGTCCTGGCTTTACAGCAGGAGCAAGATTTCAACAGAAACCTCTTTAACGTGGGATTATTACTTAAACCTTCATTTTCACATTTATTTGCCTATTTAAAGTGGATCTGCGACATTTTGGTTACTTTTTTACTTAATCTGAGGTAAACCTGAGAGCGGCTCGTTTTGGTACTGTCTCTTTAAATAAAGCCCCGCCCCCTCCAAGTCGCAGAGCACTCCGCCCCGTTCGGCCATTTTTGTAGTCAACTAGAAATAGACAAAACATCAAAAACAATTTCAAACAGTTTAAATAATGAAACGGTTCAAAACACACAGTACAGTTCCCGGAGCTAACGGCTAGCACACAGTGCTAACATTAGCAAGCGATGCTAATGCTAGCAAAACTCCAGGGTCACAAGGAAAAGCCTTTCTGGGATAAAAAGTGGAAAATAAAGACTGAAAACATCCAGTGGACTGAAGACAAATGGTTAAAACCGTGATGAAGATGAAGAGGAGATGCAGCATTGCTTCACCTCCTCCTGACCCAGAACCGGCCCCAGAACCGGCTCCAGAACCGGCGCTGGAACCGGCCCCAGAACCGGCTCCAGAACCGGCCCCAGTACCGGCCCCAGAACCGGCCCCAGAACCGGCCCCAGTACCGGCCCCAGAACCGGCCCCAGTACCGGCCCCAGAACCGGCTCCAGAACCGGCCCCAGTACCGGCCCCAGAACCGGCTCCAGAACCGGCGCTGGAACCTGAAGGCCCGGCCTCTAAATGAACCCGAACAGGAAGTCTGACACGATGAAGATCCTCCGTTCTCAGAACATCAGACTGGAAACCTGTCAGGAACCAACTCTGAAACAAAACGTGGGCTGAATACACACACACACACACACACACACACACACACACACACACACACACACACACACACACACACACACACACACACACACACACACACACACACACACACACACACACACACGGTGAGATCCTCCTACCTGGAGACAAACACATTTTCTCCTCTCAAAGCTGCGACAGCAGGTGGATTATTATGGGATGTTTTATGGATTAAAGACTACAGCAGCTAACTGTTAGCGCCGTCGGGCCAGCAACAGTTCAGTACAGACGGGACCGGCAGAACCACTGGACGGGTCCAAACGTGAGACGTCCTCCAAACCCAAAACGGGATTCATGGAGATCACAAACAAACTGAGTTTCTGTTACAAATGTGTGAAAACGTTTTCTATGCTAATGTTAATAAAAATATATTAATATTAGATTTTTTATTAAAAAATGTAATTAAAATCAAAAAGTTTTTCATAAACATTCAGCTCCACTTCCTGTCGTCTTCTTTGTGGTTTCCTCCAGTAGCAACAACCAGCTGTTGATCAACATCTGGTTGTTGATCACATGACTCATACGACAATAAACAGTATTTTCACTGCAGCTTCATAAAATACACTTAAAAATCACCGAATGCAAGTTTCTATTAAGTTCATTTATTTCCAAAACCGTTTAGAATTGTTGAAAAAGTTTTAAATACTGAAACAAACATCATCTCCAGTATGAAAAGCCAACCTTCCCAGCTGCATATCAATAATCATCTACATAAAGGGTCAGATTATTGCAAAAAGGAGGAAAAGCAAACAGCTTTTAATGAGCGCGGTGAGGCATCTTCTCATGAACGAATCGTTGATTATCTCCTCTGTGCTAATAAGAGGAGCCTGGAGAGACATCAACCAGAAACGACCCAAGGAAACCAGGTGAACCTGGTGAACCAGGTGAACCAGGTGAACCTGGTGAACCAGGTGAACCAGGTGAACCTGGTGAACCAGGTGAACCAGGTGAACCTGGTGAATCAGGTGAACCTGGTGAACCTGGTGAACTTGGTGAACCAGGTGAATCAGGTGAACCAGGTGAACCTGGTGAATCAGGTGAACCAGGTGAACCTGGTGAACCTGGTGAACCAGGTGAACCTGGTGAACCAGGTGAACCTGGTGAACCTGGTGAACCAGGTGAACCAGGTGAACCAGGTGAACCTGGTGAACCTGGTGAACCTGGTGAACCAGGTGAACCTGGTGAACCTGGTGAACCTGGTGAATCTTTTTAAACGTCAAAATGGCTTTTTCTGCTTTTAAATTAAACATTTTTTCATTTCTGGGCTTGAATCCCAAATTGAAATGAAACTGATCATTTTTAAGCAGAAAGTTTTATTAGAGCAGCAGATCTACCAGGTTTTCCTCGACTCAACGTTTCCCGTCTGGTTTTCCAGAGCGAGTCGCAGCGGACGGATTTAATCTGGAATCTGATCCCAGCTGGATCTGCAGATTACCGACCAATCACTGCTTCTGCCAACACATTTAAAGGGACATTACACCTCATTTCTGCTGTTCCTCACCAGGGCTGAGCTGTTTCTTCATCTGAACACAAGTCTACGGAAGCCCTGAAAGGACAAGAATTAAAAGAATAATATTTTTGAAGCCCCATTTTTAAAGTCTGACCAAATTTTCTTTGTCGTTCTATACTGGGCCTTCTTCTGGACTCAGACGGATCGGAACCGTGTTCTGGACTCAGACGGATCAGAACCGTGTTCTGGACTCAGACGGATCAGAACCGTGTTCTGGACTCAGACGGATCAGAACCGTGTTCTGGACTCAGACGGATCAGAACCGGGCCTTGTTCTGGACTCAGACGGATCAGAACCGTGTTCTGGACTCAGACGGATCAGAACCGGGCCTTGTTTTGGACTCAGACGGATCAGAACCGTGTTCTGGACTCAGACGGATCAGAACCGGGCCGGGTTATTTTGGGCTGCAGACGGCAGATTGAATTAAATCCGGATTAATCCCGGCTGAATTTGTGTCGTTCCTCCAAGCGACACAAAACCCAAATCAAATTACAGAACCGAACCGCTGCTGCCACGGCGACCACCATCACCTTCATCACCATCGTCATCCTCGGCCCCAGGCGGCGCGTCGCTCCTCTCCAGCTGCGTCTGGCGCCTGATTGGATCTGACAGGTTCTGGACCCGGCACCGGATCGTTACGCGGCTCTGGGTCGGCCGGCACAAACAGAACCAGCCGGACCTCCAGCGGCTCGGCCCGGCAGCTTTTCATGCGTTTCCATTCATTCGTGGCTGAACGTGTTCTACTCGGCGGTGGGATTAATCCGGTTAATTCTGGGATTAATTCACCACTTTTGATCAAAATCAGCTTTGATGAAGCGGAGCTTCACTTCCTGGATCTAAAAACGAGGCGCCTTGTGTGAACCAACGGTCAGAAACGGTTCAGAAACCCGATTGGACGCTCCGCCTCCGGGTGGGCGGAGCTTATCCCCACGCAGCCAACACGACTCCAGTCTGGATTTATTAACTTTTGGTTTTTAAACGCCTCTCTCACACACTGATGAATCTTCTGGAGCCATTTTTATTCCTACCAGGAAGTGCTGGTTGTTCTGAAGGATTCTGATTGGCTGACAGGTCCCAGCTGTCCCCACACTGCCCCCTACGGGTTAGCCATGTTTACGACAACAATCAGTGGCCAAACTCTTCAGGTTTTTGTGTTTAAACATTTTTCTTAAACCAGTCAGATGTGGAAGAGATAATTTTATAGGAACAAGCATCTGGTTTATCATCGTGTTAAAGCTACGTGTGAACACGGCTTCACTTCTCTCACCTGCTCTGATCTTTCCTCCCATCGCGCGTCAAACCAGCCTCAGAAAACCTCCGAGTCTCTTCCAGTCTGCGCCGCTTGAAGGCTGAGAGGAAACCCAGAGGGACACAGCCAGGAAGACGAGGAGTCCACTCTGCAGACAGCGCTGTCATGTCTGCGCTGTTCTACAAGCCTGGAGTCTCCTGAGCAGAGAGAAAACAGGAGGATGAAGCCGTAAGAAGAAACTCTGACAGCAGGAAGTGAAGACAAATGTTTCCCTGGCCTGAAGAACAAAAAGCTGACAGAGGCTCAGAGAAGACAGGAAATAAGACGTGTTAGGTCTAGTCAAAGTCTGGAGCGGCTCAGCCGATCTCTGGGGGAGCGAGGTCAGGAAAGAACAACGATGAGGAATAAATAAGAGAAGAAGACAGAAACAGTGGAGCTGCAGGGGGAAACAAGAGATGAAGGAGGAGAAGGAAATGTTTCTATGATCCGGTCTGACGGAACCAGAACCGCAACGATTCGTCACGGTGAATCGGATTAACTAGTTTAGCAGCACAGAAACGATGAATCGACTCAGCTGGTTTCAGGCCCTGAACCTGCTGACCAATAAATGATTCACGTTTGGTTTTCATCTGGAATATTTTGGTTGTCATCTGGAATCTGCTCAGACGCCTGGAACCCGCAGCAGATGGGATTAGAACAGATTAGAATCAGAATAAATCCAGAAACCTGCAGTAATCCTGCAGAGCGCTGCAGCATCTCCTGCTGCTGCAGGTAGAAACAATACGACTTATGAATAATACAGGAGCCTGAAGGCAGAGCGGGAAGCGAACGGCTGAGGATGAGGAGGAGGGATGAAGGTGTCCAGAGATCAGAAACCCTCTGGGTTCTTCACCATCCTCTTCCTCATCCCATTGATATCAGCAGCTGCACCTTGGTGGAAATCCATGCATGGAGGTTTAGAGCTTATCTTCTGAGACGGGCTGCGTCACCATGGCATCCCTCCGGTTCCCATCCCTCGCAGCGCTGCAGTAACCGGATCGCAGCGCTGCAGCAACCGGATCGCAGCGCTGCAGCAACCGGATCGCAGCGCTGCGAGTTCACGCAGAGGCCAGCCAGTCTGGAGGACGAAAAGTTTCAGCTCAGTTTGCAGAAACAGCGCAGAAAAAATTAATCTGATGTGGAGAGAGACACATAGAGCTGCAGCAGGAAGTGATTCTCCTGGATGTTTCCATGCTGCTGCAGCAGGAAGTGATTCTCCTGGATGTTTCCATGCTGCTGCAGCAGGAAGTGATTCTCCTGGATGTTTCCATGCTGCTGCAGCAGGAAGTGATTCTCCTGGATGTTTCCATGCTGCAGGAGCAGGAAGTGATTCTCCTGGATGTTTCCATGCTGCAGGAGCAGGAAGTGATTCTCCTGGATGTTTCCATGCTGCTGCAGCAGGAAGTGATTCTCCTGGATGTTTCCATGCTGCTGCAGCAGGAAGTGATTCTCCTGGATGTTTCCATGCTGCTGCAGCAGGAAGTGATTCTCCTGGATGTTTCCATGCTGCAGGAGCAGGAAGTGATTCTCCTGGATGTTTCCATGCTGCTGCAGCAGGAAGTGATTCTCCTGGATGTTTCCATGCTGCTGCAGCAGGAAGTGATTCTCCTGGATGTTTCCATGCTGCAGCAGCAGGAAGTGATTCTCCTGGATGTTTCCATGCTGCAGCAGCAGGAAGTGATTCTCCTGGATGTTTCCATGCTGCAGCAGCAGGAAGTGATTCTCCTGGATGTTTCCATGCTGCAGCAGCAGGAAGTGATTTTCCTGGATGTTTCCATGCTGCAGCAGCAGGAAGTGATTCTCCTGGATGTTTCCATGCTGCAGGAGCAGGAAGTGATTCTCCTGGATGTTTCCATGCTGCTGCAGCAGGAAGTGATTCTCCTGGATGTTTCCATGCTGCTGCAGCAGGAAGTGATTCTCCTGGATGTTTCCATGCTGCTGCAGCAGGAAGTGATTCTCCTGGATGTTTCCATGCTGCTGCAGCAGGAAGTGATTCTCCTGGATGTTTCCATGCTGCTGCAGCAGGAAGTGATTCTCCTGGATGTTTCCATGCTGCTGCAGCAGGAAGTGATTCTCCTGGATGTTTTCATGCCGCAGCAGCAGGAAGTGATTCTCCTGGATGTTTCCATGCTGCTGCAGCAGGAAGTGATTCTCCTGGATGTTTCCATGCTGCAGCAGCAGGAAGTGATTCTCCTGGATGTTTCCATGCTGCTGCAGCAGGAAGTGATTCTCCTGGATGTATCCATGCTGCTGCAGCAGAACATGAACCGATACAGATTAGCGCTGAGCTTCCTCTCTGGTTCCTGATGTTCTGGGTTCTGTTTCCATGTCAGCTGCACAGGAAACGCTTTAAGGCCTCACCACAGGGAAGATCCGCCTGCAGCAACATGTCTGATGTGTGTGTGAGAGAGGGTGTGTGTTCTCTGCCCCCTCAGCAGCAGAATGAAGTGATATATTCAGATTATCGATCGACTGGCTCTCAGTGGGAGTTGCGCCTGATGGAGGTAAAATAAAGTCTCAAACTTCTGAACAAACGTCATCTGATCTAAAATCGTCTCCAGAATCCTGGTCAGGTTTTCATCGTCCTCCACAACCAGCAGAAACTCCATCGATGCCATCAATCATAACCACAGACAAACAGATTTTCATCACTTTTGTAATAAGCTGCTCTAAAAGTAGAAGCGGTGATTTCTCCGGAGGAATCAGCTCGAACATGAAGCCATTAAGCTATAATTAGATCCATCATGAATCAAGTGATTTTCTGCTGATTAACCAAAACCAACAGAAATGAAACTTGATCTGCAGCCTGCTATCACTCATCACCAGGAGCGCTGCAGCTGGAAGCATCCAGGCGTCTGCAGCAGGAGGGCAAAGTGCTGCTCCTGCTGACGCTATTGAAGGAAAATTAGGATCATTTCTGCAGCTTTCTGAGAATTCCCCCAGTAAGTTATTCATAAAGCATTCAGCCTTAAAGGGGCAGTGCGACCATTGTGTTTTATAGCACAATGAAGCGACTGTGTTACCTTCAGCTGTTATAAAATGATCTATGTTCAAATATGACCCAAAAAGTAGAATGTCTGATTTAAGGCCTTGACTCTTTAACCCTTTAACGTTTCCAGCAGCGTCGCTCAGAGCAGCAGCTCAGGCATGGAGACGAACCGGGAGCCCCTCCCACACAGGTGTGTGTCCACCTGAAGGAGCGTCTTCAGGTGGACACACACCTGAAACAGGAAAAATCACTTCCTGTTTGAGTTCAGAACCTCAAAATGTTTCTGATTCACATCAACCAGCTGGTTTCTCTGCATGTTTTCCAGCTGAAGCCATCCAAACAAAGCGGTTCTGATCCTCTGGAGCTCTGAGCCTCCGGTCCGGTCCAATCCGGTCCGGAGTGGACATGAAAATGTCTCAGTGTTTCAGTCCCACAGTAACCAGGACGCAGCTGATGGTGACTGAACCGGGCCAGGTGACCAGCCCGGTTCAGTCCGATTCAGGCCCACTCAGGTCTGGTAGCGAGGCGTGAAGTGAACTCTGGTTCCGCCAAGCGGACCGGGCCCTGACCGTGTTTAAATGTCTTTATCTCAGTCTGTTTGTTGAACCAACTTTAAAATAAAATAACCAGATCAAAGCGGCTGCAAGCTAGAAACACATTTAAAGATCAAACTTCTATAAAAATAGGAGAATTAGTAAAAGGGAAATTTTAACAGAGAATTCAGAGATGACGAAAACTAAGGAATAATGACGGCTTTTAAAACATGAAACATGTCTGAGGTTTTCTTTCAAGTGTAAATGAAATTCTGTTAGTGAAAAGAAAATAAAGAATATCTGAGCTGCAGAAATCTGGAGCTGAAACAAAAACGTTGATGAAAAACGACTTTGACTGGAACGATCTGGTGAAAATCCAGCAGCCTGGATGTTGGATTTCGTGGAAAACGGTTGAGCGCCCCGCTGTGAGGCGGTGGGGGGCAGTAAGCTCCGTGTCCCAGGAGAGCGACAGCGATGAGGTGATGGCAGCATCAGCTGCAGGAGGAATCGCAGCCAAACGACCAGAGAGCAAACAAAACCAAACGTTACAGCAAGTGACTCAATGAGGAGAGCAGTAGGAGAAGAAGGTACCGGACAGCAGCGTCTCAACTCCAGAACCCGATTAACTCCAGAGCCGCTGCTGCTGCAGCATGGCAGCTGCTGCAGCTGCAGCTCAGTTTAAAGAGCAGCTCAGTGTAAATGGCAGCAGACGCTGGGAGCTGCTGATAGCCCCGGCGGCACCGTGAGGAGCCTGCAGGGTTTCTGGGCCGACTCCCTCCATCTCTATCTGCGGTTTAACGAGCGCATTAAAAGCTCTATTAATCTGCAGTAATGACGCTGCGTGGTTATTACCGCGCTGCGATCAGAGAGCTGGGAGCTCTCCGTCACACGAGATGGAGAAAACAAATCATCTTTATTGTCAGCTGCCACGCTGATGTGGGACATTTGTTAACATTTAGAAATGACACCAAATTAATGGAGACGGTCGCCGTGGCAACAACACACGCAGCTGGCTGAACAGAAAAGTTTTCGGCTCGTTCTGACAAAGTGAGGCTTTTTATATTTCCTCAGTGAAGAGCAGAGAGGGAGATGACTCGACTGGAACAGGAAGTGAAACGTTTAACTTCCTCTGAAAATATTTAAAGGTCGTTTTCCTCCTGATGGTCCGGTCGACCCGGTTCTACTGGAACCAGAACATCTGCTCCACCTCCAGCTGCTGTGGTTCTGAGTCCAACCAGCCTGTTCCCCTCCTGGCCTGTGGGGGCGCTGCACCAACAACCACTTAGGAAACGACACTAAAACCTCTGAAGACACTGAGAGCAACTTCCTGTTTCACCAGATGAAACAAGATGGAGGCGTCAGAGTTTAGTGATTTCTCTTTAGTCTTTGGCTGAAGACCAGGAGCCATTTCTGATGCTAACGCTAGGCTAACATGTTAGCTTTGGCTGTATTTACCCAGAATGCCCTGCTGCTTCTGGAGCGGTCTCCGGTCCACTTTGCGTTCAAATGCATTCAACTGAATTTTACTTCAGAGTTTGATTGACTTTGGGGACAGATTTAATAGTTTGTTATTGTTTGATATTGATAAAAGTTCCTCTTATTTCACTTATAAATACTTCATAATTATTCAAGAATCAGCAGCTCCTATGTCTGTGGAAAGTTATTTTAAGTTGGTTTTCTCTGGTTTTATGTCTTGAGGTATTTGGAGCAGAAAGCAGACAAATCTACTCGGTAATATTTTGTGTTTTTGCAGGTTTAAACTTCCTGCCTGGTTCCAGTGGGATGCGGGGCGCCATGAATATTAAAGTCATGTTTCAGTACTTAATAGACGTCGCCTCTTCCTCGTCCTCCACCTTCCACCCTCATGCGGCTCCCGGCGCTGCGGTCCGGTTCCCAGCGGCCCGTAATGACGCCCTGCTTCCTCAGACGCTTGTCTCCAGGTTGGGCTGTGTGATTATGAGCGGCTGCAGGCGGCGCTCTGCGTGGCTGAGGGGGGGACGCAGGTGCGGCGCAGATATTGGGTACGGCTTCAAATTAAAGCCAGTTTAGGAGGCGCCGGTCTGTCAAGACCGGTCCATCAGAACCACTTCCCGGATCAGGCCTCGTTATTCTCATGTTAGGGAAAACTGGGGCTTTGAAATCATTTCATGGAGGGCTGATGTTTCACATGAAAGCCAACTTATCTGCACAAACTAGTCACTGGATCCCCAAACTGCCTCTGCCAACCTCTTTCCATGGAAATGAAAGTTTAATGCACACAAAGCGTCTTCCAGGCACAGGAGGGGAAAAGCTGCAGGATGAGAGTCCAATGGACCGCAGTTAACCACAAATAGCCACAGCTAACTGTAGCTAACCACAGCTAGCTACAGTTAGCAGCAGTTATTTGTGTTAGCTATGGTTACTTGTGGCTATTTGTGTTAGCTATGGTTAGCTGTAGCTATTTGTGTTAGCTATGGTTAGCTGTAGCTATTTGTGTTAGCTATGGTTAGCTGTAGCTATTTGTGTTAGCTATGGTTACTTGTGGCTATTTGTGTTAGCTATGGTTAGCTGTAGCTATTTGTGTTAGCTATGGTTAGCTGTAGCTATTTGTGTTAGCTATGGTTAGCTGTAGCTATTTGTGTTAGCTATGGTTACTTGTAGCTATTTGTGTTAGCTATGGTCAGCTGTAGCTATTTGTGTTAGCTATGGTTAGTTGTAGCTATTTGTGTTAGCTATGGTCAGCTGTAGCTATTTGTGTTAGCTATGGTTAGCTGTAGCTATTTGTGTTAGCTATGGTTAGTTGTAGCTATTTGTGTTAGCTATGGTTAGTTGTAGCTATTTGTGTTAGCTATGGTCAGCTGTAGCTATTTGTGTTAGCTATGGTCAGCTGTAGCTATTTGTGTTAGCTATGGTTAGCTGTAGCTATTTGTGTTAGCTATGGTTAGTTGTAGCTATTTGTGTTAGCTATGGTCAGCTGTAGCTATTTGTGTTAGCTATGGTTAGCTGTAGCTATTTGTGTTAGCTATGGTTAGTTGTAGCTATTTGTGTTAGCTATGGTTAGTTGTAGCTATTTGTGTTAGCTATGGTCAGCTGTAGCTATTTGTGTTAGCTATGGTTAGCTGTAGCTATTTGTGTTAGCTATGGTTAGCTGTAGCTATTTGTGTTAGCTATGGTTAGTTGTAGCTATTTGTGTTAGCTATGGTTAGCTGTAGCTATTTGTGTTAGCTATGGTCAGCTGTAGCTATTTGTGTTAGCTATGGTTAGCTGTAGCTATTTGTGTTAGCTATGGTTAGTTGTAGCTATTTGTGTTAGCTATGGTCAGCTGTAGCTATTTGTGTTAGCTTTGGTTAGCGGGGAGCATCAGGTTATCCGGTGTAAATCTGATTGGACATTTTGAAGCTCTCCAGGATTCCCCAGCAGCTCTGATCTCACAAACACACGACATGAATAAATTTGAAAAAAAATTTGGAAAAAGTAAATTTGGAAAAAGAAGAAAGTGCAGCTTTTCCCAAAAGGCTGTTGCTGGCGAGAAACGTCTGGCATCAATGGTTCACACAGATCAGCAGATGACAACAATAATAATCATAATAATAACTCACAAGGAGGCCCAACCAGAAACTGAGTGCATGGGGGTGTACTTACTTTTCAGAAACGTTCCAGCTCCAGGATCTGCGTCTGCAGGAGGTCAAAACTTCCTGGAGCTTAAAGACTTCATTTATACATCATTAGTCTGAATCCTGATCTGTTCGATTCCCTCAGCAAGTGCTTCCTGAAAGTCAGACACACACACACACACACACACACACACACACACACACACACACACACACACACACACACACACACACACACACCTCCTCAGGGCTCAGGATGAAAGGGATTTTAAGCAGAGCGCCGTCTGAAGGGCCTTCATAAATATTTCATCAGAAGATTAATTGGACGTTTACTCAGACATCATCTGATTGGAAGACGAATCAGAAGCAGCTTCTGTCTCTGCTCACCTCTCATAACATCACCACTTCCTGTTTCCTTTCTGCAGGTTCAGACGAGTCCTGAAGGTGTTTCACACCTGGTGGTCCGCTAGACTCTGTCCCACTGGAACCAGAACTTCATCATTTGCTGCGGTTCTTTCTCTCTGCTGAGTTGAACCAAACCCCAGTAATTAATACATGCATTATGCCATCTAATATTAAAGGAGCAGCAATCTGCATTTTCCAGGCACATAGGGCCATTTTACAGCACGTTTTAACTGTATCCTTTGTTTTCACACAATAACAGTACTTTTATTTCTTACGTAGAAAATAAATGTAGCTACCAAACTGAAAAAGGTGTAATGCTCCTTTAAAAGGTAAAGGTAATTGTATTTATATAGCACATTTTCCAGAGCGAGGCATACAAAGTGCTTTTAAAGCTTCACATAATGGCAGCCATTACTCACTGACCAGATGTTGCACCAAATAGAGACAAACAACGTCACGCACCGTTTCATGCTGAAGTCAGGAATCCTTCAGCTGATCCTCAGTGAGCTCAACACACACAGCCTGCTAGCATTAGCATTAATTAGCCTCCGGCATCATTTCCCGTTTTCTACACAATACTGATCAGAAACGTCAAAACGTGACTCTCGATTCTGAAACATCTTCAAGTCTTAGAGGTGAACATTATTTATGCATATAAATACATTTTTATTGACCTCTGACACGGAAGAGATGAGACGCGCAGTGAGCTCCTCTGCGCCCCTAGCGGCTGTACGTGGAATCGCACCGAATAACTGAATACAACGACAAATTAAGGATGGAAAAGGAAAATGAATGTTGAGTGGCTATTTTCATGCTTCATGTTTCCATTACTTATAGAAACCAGATTTTCACTGGTTTTCTTCTGATCATTAGAAATGATGGGAAGCATAAACATTCTTTGGTTTTTCACATTTTGTGGTAACATTGTGATGACAATAAAAACTATTAAATCTTTTCAGGTCTTCAGTAATCAAAGAAATGTCTTCAGGGCAGCAGATACACAGTCATTTGTATTAATTTAATCTTTCTTGAAACAAACAGTGGAGTCAATAGTAAATCTGCCGACCCAACAACAAGGGATTGGTGGTTTCATTAAACACCGTCATGCTAACAGAGGGCAGGAGTATTCGGGTTAAAGGTCATTAATTGGAATTTATCATGACGATAAATCAATAATTTTATCACAATAAACGATAAACCTTATCGATCACTCGATTTGATCCTTTTTGTGTACAACTGCTTTCTGTTACCATAGCGACGTTCACAAGAAAGTTACCAAAATAAAAGCATGTAGTAACAATAAATGAAGTAACGTTACTCAGTCGGTCTTTAACAAAAAATTAGCGGTTTGAGAACAGCAAACTGTCGTGACTTTGACAGAAGGTGAAGGTGAATATTTTTAGGAGTCACATTTAATGACGCGCTGCATGAATTATGCAGATTGCTGCAACGTTTCCCCTCAGAGGGGAGGACTTTATGGGTCCTGGGAGAATGGATTTATGACTGCAGGATGCATCGGCTGCGGCCGAACGTTTGTCTGAAGGTTTCATTTAGACTCCAGATGGAGAGCTGCAGAGTTAGCCGCTCCAGTAAAGAGTAAACGGAGAGTTAAAGAGGAGCCATGATGAGGCTGAAGGGTGTTTGGAGGGCAGAGCAGCAGGGGCGGCGGTAAGATGTGATATTGTTAATGCTACAGTAAATTAATATTCGCGTGAGGTCATCCATCAGCAGAGCAGGCGAGCCGTGAGGAACATGATGATACAGGCTGTGAGCAGAGAGATCCAGAGGGTCAAACTGTTTGTTTCTGTAGCAACAAACAAACACGTTACTTCAGTTCAATCACATTTATTCTCACTAATCCAGGGCATTTAAATAAAATTAGTTTCTCTCTAATTAAGCCCATCGCAGCATCAAATAATTGGCTTGCAGCATCTAGTCCTCCTGACCAGCAGGGGGCGACATTGGAGGAAAAGCCCGTTAACTGGGAGAACGCTCCAGCAGAACCAGAACCAGAACCTGGCCGGATTAAAGGAAGCGTTTCAGATGTCAGCCCTGTAACGTGTATCTCTGTTTGTTTTCATGATTTCGTTTCGCCTCCAGTTTTCCGTCAGACTCGGACCGACCAGCGATGGAAAAACTCTTCCTGTCCTCCAGCCGGCCTGCAGGTCCTGGGTGAGGCCAGCAGAGGGAGCAGAGGGTGTGGCTCTGGTCGGTGGGGTCAGGACCTTTGACCTTTGGTCCCGACATACGGAGCGTCCTCCTCTCTGTGAGGAGCTGAACAGTTTCTGCTGCCTGCAGGATGGAAACAAAGAGCTTCTGTCTCTGAGAGCCGGCCTCTTCCAGCAGACTTGTGAAGATAACAACGGGCCAATTACCGCCTAATTGCTACAGATAACCAGTTCAATACTTTCTGCTGGACCAATTTCACTTTAATTGTCCAAATTAGATTCAATTAGATGTGTTGGTGCGGCTGGACCAGACGCTCTGACACGTTTCCCCTGCATGCTGGGAAACGCATCGTCCTCTTCATTGGCTGATGATCAGATTACCGATTTTATTCCAGGTTAATGCAGCTAATCCAGCTGGGAATTATAGAAAAATTACAAAATGGCTGAAAATCATCAGTGCCTTCAGCTGAACTCTGAAGCAACGTTTATAAAGTCGCACATCAGCAATCATTTGGTTCATTTAGTCATAAAAATTACTCCAAAATCATTTGGTAAGCTAAATATTTACCTTCAATTTGAATTGTTAGCTGGCAAGAGCTGACAGTTTATGGCTGCATTGAGTTAGCAAACTAAGTATATTCTTAGCCAGCTAAATATTTGGGCACTTATTTACATATTCAAACTAAGTATTTAGTTTAAAACTAAATATTTAGCTCTGACGTAGTGAGATTGTAAACTAAATATTTGCCCTGCATTTTAAAGATTAAAACTTCCTCTTACGACTAAATAAACCAAATTGTTGTTGTAAATACTTGACAGAAACGTTACAAACGACGCCTGTAAGCTAGCCTGACCTTTCACCCCAGAGGTCTGGACCTGAAAAGCAGGAGGACGAAGCCTGAAATGCCTTTTTAATGCTTCTGGATGAGATTAAAAAGTTGTGATCTCTGCAGCGAATGCAGCTGTTAAATGCAACAGCTGGATTACAGCGACCTCTGAGCCTGGAGGTCAGAGCAGATCAGCACCGACCCAGAGGACCGCCCCGCAGCACCGACCCGCAGCACCGAACCGGAGGACCGACCCGGGTCCTCCGGGTTTTTTCTTTGTCGGGTTTCTCACTTTGTCAGAAACCCGACAAAGTGATGAAAATGAGCTGAGAGTAACTGTGGGAATCTGAATGTTTCACTGAACTTCACTTCACCTCGTTCTTCAGCGGCTCTGCCTGCTTTCATCTTCCTCCGTCTGATCCCTTCACTCCTGCTGCCTTCCTCTTCCTCCGCGCGTCGTCGTCTTCTTCTTCCCTTTCATCCCGGCGGCTCGCTCCTGTCTGCAGCGCTTTACACACTTTTACCCCCGTTAGCAGAACAAACACAGCTTCCTGTCAAACTCTTTAACACGACGAGTTTCGTTTTCTGACAGCAGAACCAGAACAATTTGAACGGCGCCTGTTTTCTACGGAAGCCTGGAAGGCCAAGGAGATTCTTCTCTTTCAATAAACCTGGGGAATCTTTTTCCTCTCAACTTTTCAGATGAAAGTGAAAAAACAACTCTTGGTTGAAATATTGTCGAGTTTAACTTTTTTCCAGCAATTTTTTTATAGCAAACAAATTGGTAAATTCATGACAGAAATTTAGTTTCCCCTTTAAAACTTAATTCAGTTCAATTAAAAAATACTTTACTGACCATAAAGGTAAATTAAATGTTGCAAATTATTTAATATTTTAATGTAAATCATCTAATTAAAGTTTTAATGTAGGTAACATTAAATGACTTAACATTTTTCTTTTCTATTCTGCTGGACGTTTGCGTCACCTAGTGCTGCTCCGCCTCGTCTTGCCTCGCCCCGCTCCGCCTCGCCTCGCCTCGCTCCGCCCCGTCTCGCCCCGCTCCGCCTCGCTCCACCGCCGCCATCATCTGCTCCATTAGGAACTGCTGCTCCTCCAGTCGATGGGAGGGAAACATGGAGCTGAAATCCTCCTGGTTCATCGTCTCGGTTGACCTGCCCGGGATCTCACCATCACTTCTGCTCTGTCTGCTCACCAATGTCTCCTGCTGGATCCTTTGGTCTCATTCAGTTCATCTCAGTGAATCTTTGATTTGGACCTTCAGCATTTTGAGCAAATGTTTGTCTGTGTTTCAGCTGACAAAAGGCCGAACTCAGAACCCTGAGGAACGCCGCGGCGTGGCTGGACTCAGCTTCCTGTTTCTGATGCTCAGCTGAGAAAGTAAAACTTGTTTAGTTAAATATGAGCTGAGATCAAAAGCTGAGACAATCGAGACGTGAAGCAGAACCGGAACCGGAACCAGAACCGGAACCAGAGCTCCCAGCAGAACCGAGCTGCTTCTCTACAAACCTAACAGAGACAGAGGAAGGTGCAGCTGACAGATCTGAACTCAAACTCACACACATCGCATGCAAATGCAGTCAGAGCTGCCAGTTTACATCACACACACCATCACCAGCTAAACAAGCAGCTGCTGGGAGTGTGTGTGTGTGTGTGTGTGTGTGTGTGTGTGTGTGTGTGTGTGTGTCTGCACACATGAAGAAACAAACACACCTGCTGTTCTCCTCTCACAGCAAACAGCATCTCATTAGAGAGCCGGATCGCTCCAGAACCAGAGAGGAACCAGTTCTAAAGCTCAGCTGATTGCGACACGTCGGTGTTCCTGCAGACAAAGTGGAGGAGCAGAGGTCAGAGGTCGATTAGCGTTCACACTTCATCACCTGACCTGGACTTTCTAGGCAAACGGACTGGAGTGAACAGGGCTGGTGTGAACGGAGCCCGTTCTATTCCACGTCTGATACGTCTCCAGATGACAAAGTAAACGGTGGGAGAATGGAGTCCTGCGGCCTGGTCGTCCTGCAATCCGGCGTCCTGCGGTCCGGTCGTCCTGCAATCCGGCGTCCTGCGGTCCGGTCGTCCTGCGGCCCGGTCCGGTCGTCCTGCGGCCCGGTCGTCCTGCGGCCCGGTCGTCCTGCGGCCCGGTCGTCCTGCGGCCCGGTCGTCCTGCGGCCCGGTCGTCCTGCGGCCCGGTCCGGTCATCCTGCGGCCCGGTCCGGTCATCCTGCGGCCCGGTCGTCCTGCGGTCCGGTCGTCCTGCGGTCCGGTCGTCCTGCGGCCCGGTCATCCTGCGGTCCGGTCGTCCTGCGGCCCGGTCGTCCTGCAGCCCGGCCCGGTTGTCCTGCGGTCCGGTCGTCCTGCGGCCCGGTCGTCCTGCGGCCCGGTCGTCCTGCGGCCCGGTCGTCCTGCGGCCCGGTCATCCTGCGGCCCGGTCTGGTCGTCCTGCGGCCCGGTCGTCCTGCGGCCCGGTCGTCCTGCGGCCCGGTCCGGTCATCCTGCGGCCCGGTCCGGTCGTCCTGCGGTCCGGTCGTCCTGCGGTCCGGTCGTCCTGCGGCCCAGTCATCCTGCGGTCCGGTCGTCCTGCGGCCCGGTCGTCCTGCAGCCCGGCCCGGTTGTCCTGCGGTCCGGTTGTCCTGCGGCCCGGTCGTCCTGCGGTCCGGTCGTCCTGCGGCCCGGTCGTCCTGCGGCCCGGTCGTCCTGCCGGTCATCCTGCGGCCCGGCCCGGTCGTCCTGCGGCCCGGTCGTCCTGCGGCCCGGTCGTCCTGCGGCCCGGCCCGGTCGTCCTGCGGCCCGGTCGTCCTGCGGTCCGGTCGTCCTGCGGCCCGGTCGTCCTGCGGTCCGGTCGTCCTGCGGCCCGGTCGTCCTGCGGCCCGGTCGTCCTGCGGCCCGGTCGTCCTGCGGCCCGGTCATCCTGCGGCCCGGCCCGGTCGTCCTGCGGCCCGGTCGTCCTGCGGCCCGGTCGTCCTGCGGCCCGGTCGTCCTGCGGCCCGGTCGTCCTGCGGCCCGGTCCGGTCGTCCTGCGGCCCGGTCCGGTCATCCTGCGGCCCGGTCCGGTCATCCTGCGGCCCGGTCGTCCTGCGGTCCGGTCGTCCTGCGGTCCGGTCGTCCTGCGGCCCGGTCATCCTGCGGTCCGGTCGTCCTGCGGCCCGGTCGTCCTGCAGCCCGGCCCGGTTGTCCTGCGGTCCGGTCGTCCTGCGGCCCGGTCGTCCTGCGGCCCGGTCGTCCTGCGGCCCGGTCGTCCTGCGGTCCGGTCGTCCTGCGGTCCGGTCGTCCTGCGGTCCGGTCGTCCTGCGGTCTGGTCGTCCTGCGGCCCGGTCTGGTCGTCCTGCGGCCCGGTCGTCCTGCGGCCCGGTCGTCCTGAGGCCCGGTCGTCCTGCGGTCCGGTCGTCCTGCGGTCCGGTCCAGGTGACTGATGGTGTCGGACCAAAGCTCCAGCTGCTGGACAAATGGTGGATAACAGAAAATACTTGTGATTGTTCCTCATTGTTTCCCTGGACGACTGTAAAAAGACAAGCAGAACCAGAAAGTGATTCTTGTAATTAAATGTTAATTTATTCCCTGCTCACTTACTGCTTCTTGTTGTATAACCGCAGCCGCCGAGTAATTAAAAGATAACCTCATTTCCAAGGTCAATATTTTCCTACTTATTCTCAAATGGAAAAAAATGATCCGAACTAAGAGGAAGAGAAAGAGGAAGAGAAAGCCAAGGCTGCAGAGCTGCATGTTTTATTCATGGCTCTGTAGTCAAAGTAAATTTATCCTGCAGTAAAGTCAGCATATGGATTCTGATCAGTGATTTATTGATTACGTTTCTGTAAATGTAAAGTTTGAATCAGAAGTTTTCATGAAGAAGTGAAGCAGGAAACAGACATGATGTTCACGTGTTTTTCATCACAGATTTTAACGTGTTTCTGTTTCGGCTGCAAAGTTTCATCTGGGAAAAAACTGAGAATTTAGAGCAAAAAAAAAGTTTTTTTACAAACATCTAGATAAATTTACAAGTTTTAGAGGCTTTTTTAACGTGAGATCAGAGATTTTACTGAAATATGGAGGATGATAAACAGACTGATGGATTCTTCATAATATCTAGAAGGTTACAGACTCCAGACTCTCCTCTTCATCGTCAGTCAGAGGCTTCTTTAGCTGTGCTGTAACACTGACCTCTACAGGAGGCCTGAAGCTCTTAACATTCAGCATAAAACTTTGTAGAAACCTGAATTCTCCGAGTTGCATCAACATTTATATTCCATCTGGGTTTAGTTATAAATTTTTGGGTTAAATCTTCTCGTATCATTTCCAGAGTTCAGGTTTCTCCTCCTCTACCTGTTTTTGTCCGTCTCCTCCTCCATTCTTTGTCATTGACCTTTGACCTGCTGCAGCCTGGTTGCAGTGCCATCACCATCTCTGTTTTCTGCTTCATTTGTGAGGAGAGAAGCTCTCGTCTACCCACGCTCTCTGTGCCGTGTCTTTGTTTGCAGCTGAGAACCTGCCGAGTTCAACAGAGAGTTTATTATAATTCAAGTGGGATTTTTAATTCACACGTTGCCTGAGCTGCCGGCGAGAGAACAGACCATCTGCTCTGCTGCTCTCCCAGGCGGCCGCGCAGCGCAGAGCTATTATTACACACGCAGAAAGACACGGCTGCATGTCGCAGCCAGGTTCACAAACACTGTGACGTCATCGCCTCTCATTGTGACGTCACCGGCCCAACCTGTGACATCATCGACCCACACTGTGACGTCATCGCCTCACACTGTGACGTCATCGCCTCTCATTGTGACGTCATCGCCTCTCACTGTGACGTCATCGCAGAGTTTAGCTGAAAAAACAGGTTCCAGGCTGATTATTTAACTGCTGGCTCATGAAAAACTGGATGGATTTGATTTTTTAAAGGTTATTTTTACTTGTCTTTAATTTATTTTAAGTTATTATGAGAATAATCACATTAATTTCATTTTCATTGTATTACCTTTTGCTGTCATTTTTCTATTCAGTTTATTTTATTTATATCTTTTTCCTTGAATATCATACCAACTTTATTGATAAAGCACTTTAAAACAAGCACAGCTGATACAAAGTGCTGCACATAAAATAAATAAAAACTCTTACAGTTTAAAACAAACATAAAATGTAAAACTAGATCTCACTGGAGTTGAAAGCAGAATAAAATAGATGGGTTTTAAGGGGAGCTTTAAAAATTCAGACCTGATCGTTATTATTATCTTGGGAACGATCTTCTCATCTAGAGAAGAAAGAAAAGTTCACTGAAAACTGATGATCAGATAATCAATACCAGCGATCAGAAGTAAAGCTACAGCCCAGGATGCACTTTCTTTTCTGCAGCAGCGAACATTTCCCTGAAGCAGCCAGATGGAACCGGTTCCACGCATCGATGGACAGAAAGCTGGAATCCTCCTCACAAATATTCATGTCCAATATTTCAGCAGCATGAGTCACTTTTGGAAAATAATTACAGCTCCCCCTGGAGGCCGGCGTCCCGCCGACCCCGCCCCCAAATCAGGCTGCAGCACAAAATCACTTACAGAGACATTTCCACGGGGATGAACCTCATTCCAGGCTCTGTCGGATAATAACTCTGCAATTATGGAGGCCGGTGGCGGCGGGCGGAGAGAGCCGGGTCGCATTCTGGCCCGGCGGCTTTCTACTCTAATCAGCAGGACAGGGGGCATTCCCAGAATGCACCTGGCCCCGGGTCACCGACTGAACTGGATCCGACTGAACTGGAGACGGAGAGCGGGACGTTATGCCAGAGGTCACATGACCAGAACACCTGACTGGAACCACACGACCCAATATGTCCCAGTACAGGACCAGACAGGACCAGAAAGAACCAGACAGAACCAGAAAGAACCAGACAGAACCAGACAGAACCAGGCAGAACCAGACAGGACCAGGCAGAACCAGACAGAACCAGACAGAACAAGAAAGAACCAGACAGAACCAGGCAGAACCAGACAGAACCAGACAGGACCAGGCAGAACCAGACAGAACCAGACAGAACCACACAGAACCAGAAAGAACCAGACAGAACCAGACAGAATCAGACAGAACCAGACAGAACCAGACAGAATCAGACAGAACCAGGCAGAACCAGACAGAACCAGACAGAATCAGACAGAACCAGACAGAACTGGAGCTTCAAAGGTTAAAAAAATACTGAAAGATCAAAAATTGATGAAACTGTCTTTTAAAAGTCATCACAGACGTTAAAATTAAACTGTGTAGCTGTGATGATGATGATCATAATTATAAAATGCTGCACACTGATTTGACAACACAGACGTCCTCCGGCCACTAGGGGGAGTCGATCACCAAACCGTCTGGGTCCAGAACCTGAATAGACGGGATGACCTGAACAAATTACAGGAAGAAAGAAAATGTGTTAAATTCAGGTCTTTCTCAACGCAAAGTCTTTAATAATATCCACCTTAATCCGAAGCTGTCAGGACGCTGGCAGCGAGCAGTCCTCGCGCTGGTCCCGTCCGGTCCGCCTGAAGCAGGACAAACAGCCAAAGAGTCCGAACCTGGACCTGGATGGGACCAGGTTCGGATCAGAACCATCAGCAGGTTCTAAAGGGTCAGAGGAGAAGCTTCTCTGTTGTGTTTTCTAAGATCCATTTTACACAAAGTAAAATTTAACTTTTAAATTTTACCTCCTGATTTAATGTCTTGAAATTGGGCCTCTGTCTCTTTAAGAAACTCCTGCCCTTTGATCCCAACATGGCTCCTCTATTAACCCTTTAACGCTTCTACCAGCATTGCTCTGAGCAGCAGCTCCTTTAATGTCTGCTAATTACTGCTAGCTAGTCTGAAGGAGCTCCTCACACTCACTAGTCACAGAGTCGAAACTCTGAGGAGGAGCTGCGCCTCGGAGGCTTCAGCAGAGGGTGGTACCGTCCCTTTAAGAAGCCCTGACAGGAAGCGGCGCCTGCAGACGGATGGGAAGAGGAGATGTTGTCCCAGCAGAGCACTTTGGGTCGGTTCTGGTCAGGTTCTGGTTCTGCATGATGTGCTCTGCTTCCAGGCGTCTCTCTCATCTTCACCTCACGTCTCAACCCGAAACCCGGAAACTTCTGCAGAATTCAGAGGAACCAGAATCGTTCGAAAAAGTTACAGCCAGAAAATAACAGCAATAGTTTCATATCCGCCGTGTGAAACTCAGTCATTTATAAAGGTCAGTTTCAAACTAAATATTTATTCTGCAAGCAGGATATTTAGTTTGAAGATAAATATTTAGCTAAATAAATAGTTAGCTTGCAAGCTCAATATTTAAGTTCTTAGATAAAATGTAGCTTTCTAAATGAAATATTTAGTTTGAAACTGCGGAATTTAAAAGTGAATGAAGAACATGATGAAAATATGAATCCTAATTTCTCTTATGATTTGCTAAATGGGTCAAATAACTGCTGTTAATGTTTTACTGTAACGTCTCTCTGCACTGTCTCTGTCTCTCAGCAGGGGGTTGGATCCTCTCCTCCTCAATGTCACTCTGCGCCTCGCTGCTGTGAACAGATCGATGGTGAGAAACAGATCTGAGATGAAATTAGAATCGAGTAGCGACGTTTCATCCCGACGTCCGCAGAGGAGAAAAGGAAGGAGGGATGGAGAGGAGACGGGAGAGGAGACGGCCGGATCGATGTCTGCATAAATTACAGCAGCAGCAGCACCGGCGGCCTGCAGACAGCGCCACCTGTGGGCCAGCCTGAACCACAGCAGAACCACAGCGGTCTGCCCGGGTTCACCGGACTGCACAGAGCCACCAAAGA